CAAACTGATTTGCAAATGAGTGTATTTCTCGAAAACAGTTCAAGTTAGGTTCAAGTAGAACATAAGGTTGACGGAAACTCGGGGACTGTGGCTACCTGATGAACCGTAAGAAGGGCGAAACCGGTCGTGGGCTGTCGAAGAGTTTTCAGCAACCCTGTGAGTAGTTTCCTCTATTAAAACTCACCTCCACTTAGTTGGGGATATCCATGGCTGTAAAAATACAGTGATCCCTCCAGAAAAGAACACTCTCTAACTAAGACTATTTAGCTTCGGCCATATGAGACCAGTTTTGAAATTGATACTCCTTAAGAGATTACTCTTAACGTCTCTGTGGGGCAAAGACCAGGACGCACTGCATTTTTTGCTCCAGCTGGGCACGATGACAGCGGCAAAAGTTTTCTCCGTAAGTGAGGGTTATTTGAATTGATAGATCGCTTTTAAAATAGTCTAGGTATCGAACGAGACCACCGTTGGTCACTCGCTGTAGGTGGTCTTTTGAGTTTAAACAAACTGACTACAGCTTAGTGCTTTAGAAATAAGCCTTAAAAATTGGTCATAAATTATACAGGTTATCCTTACAAGGAGTCGGTTACTTCACAGATCTATTACATCAGTGCACCGGTTTCAGTGTATCATTTTATCGTTATCAGCAAAAGTTGAGATGCTTACATTAGTATTTCGTCCTACGACCGACAGTGGGTGGTCCCCCTGCTCAACAGGGACGGCTCCCTCCAAATAAGATCAAATGGATTGTGCTGTATGGCTCTTCAGGTGAGGGTACTCCTGTATTCTTCGGTCTACCATTATTATGGCAATGAACGGAGTTATACCCAAACAGGCTAGAAAAGAATGAATATCTATTTAGCCTGAAGGGTACCAAAGGGCATCATGCAGCTGTTCCGTTGCGTTCTAGTATTTTGTACAGCACTACCCTTACATGACCAGTATTATTACTCCAAACACTAGATTAAGGACTTAAACTGTGTGGTTATATGCTTCCTTTTTTCTTATGCGACAAGATCACTTGTCTCTTCGACATTGTCTGACTCAGAAAGCTTACTGTGTAAAAAATAATATTAATACTTATCTTGGTTTCTGTTGCAAAATGGATGAGATGAATGTTTAAAATAAATAGTCAAAGTGGTTCACAATCACGAGTGTAAAGGCTTAGGCCCACGTAACTACAACTCTCCCGTCGGTTAGATTTACCCCGGATTGAACACAACGAGAGCTACTGGTAAAGGAAATTGGTAGAACAAGACAGTTCATGCCAGTTTTGGGGTCAGTTTATGAACAGATTCCTTGGTCTGGAATGTCTTTTTTGAATAGATTGAGTCAGTTTTGGGCAGAAGTAATCACTATAGTCTGAGTCCACTTGGCGGATGTTCGCTGTGAGGAGTCCTGTCGATAATCATGGTCGATATTCATGGCAACGCTCGCTACTACATAGAAACGATAACGTGACTATCTAGTTTTCGAACGTCAGTTGCCAAACACATTAGAGGGCAGCCGTACGAACTTTAAGACTGACAGTAAGAATTTTGACGATCTTTTATATACCACCCAAAGTCACGGAAGAAATATCACGGAATGCCACGTATAAGTAAGATTAGGGATAAAGTAACTACTGAACTACTTTCAGAGGCCAGTCCCTGTTCAAACCCAAAACGTTACTATTTACACGTGGCACACACTCTATTGACTTCGTTAACGTGATCGCTGTCAAGCTGGCGCATGCAAACCCCAGTCACCGCAACGTCACCGTACCTCCTTGACCTTGTCGCCATCGGTGAACGCCAAGGCGACGGCAGTCTAATTACTACTGCCTCCGATCCCCCACAAAAAATTAAGAGCTACTCGAAAAGTTGGTCAACAACTCACGGTATCTCATAAGACGGGAGACAGAAAAACGACTAAAATCCGTTGTAGTTAGTTACGGTAACTGTTGTCACAAAGACCGTTTGGCTCTGCATTGACAATTAGTTGCTGAACAAACCTGCGAAAGGTTATTTTACGATCTCTTAGGTCAGAGTGCGTAGAATATATAGGTGCATCAACACCCTCTTATGAAGTTGTAAGAATTTCCGTCCTTTATCACGTTTGCAGCCGAAGTGCAGTAATATCGGCTAATTCTAGTTTTGATCGCTGGGCTGTCATGGTAAAGGCTAAAGCAGAAATGCATCCTGAGGTTGTATTATAAATCACTCAGAGTTTTTATGCACAAGGTTGTTATCTTCGAAATGGGCGGCTTAATCCTTTCTAATAAAACGTGCGAATATTTACCTAAGCATCTTTGGGAGTAAAAGTAGAAGCAAAAAATGGGGGGGGGGGGACTACGTGACCATTCTCCTCTTGACTCGGTACATATCTTGAGCGACTAGAAATGATCACGTTCCGCGTGATGGTTACTTCTTTCAAGCAAACGGCCAGAAATCAAACTTAAAGCTCTCTTCAAAATATGTACTTCTATCGACCGTTGTGTGCCCGTGTATTTGTACTTGAGCACTAGTCCACCTCTGTGGACCACTAAACAGGCTGGGATCTAGCTAACTGCAATAAGCTGATCGCCTCATCTATTATTGATAAGTTCTCAGCCCCCCTCTGATCCACAGTAAATTTTATAGCTGGAAATTATTCTTGTGTGAAAACACCTGTGAACAAGTGCTTTCACTAAGAATTCCCACTGTGGAAAAGTTTTACAGGCGGTTTCTTGGCTTTACGAAGACTATGGAAAAAGTTAACCCAGGTGTAGACGCAAAAATGTCGACGGTAAGCAACTGCGCTGTGGTAACATGGATACTCCATTCTAGTTGAGCAAAAACTGTGCAAATTTTGAAAGCATTCTTCAGGGTACTTTTTGTGTACATTCACCAAACCTCTCTGAACCGTGACTACTCACTCGGTCCCAAGCATTTTCTAAATGATAGAAAAGATGTATATTTATTTACCATCTTTGTTTGTACCAACCGTTATCTACACCTTCATTCTATCCTCGCATTTTTTCAAACTTGATTTCAGATGTATGACAATCACTGATGTTGGGCTGGATTACCTTTCAACCTTGTCCAAACTACACCATTTGAGCTTGCGTTGGTGCATAAATCTCTCAGACGGTATTATTCCTCATCTAGTCGGTATGACTCAGCTAACGTTCCTCAGTCTTGCTGGTGAGTCGTCACGTTTTATTGGAAAATAGTGTTTGCTCGCATGCTACTTTGGACAGAGCAAATGAAGGCCTTCTTCCTTATTGTGATATTAAGTGGACTTTATGTGGTACGCTGAGTAATCGAGTAAAATTTTGTCTGTTTGCCGGATCCGAGTTTCAAGGTCTAGACGTCTCTATTCCGTATACATTACTAGGTTCAACAGGTCACCAATGTATCAAATGAATACGTCAGACCACGCCATGGCGTCCGTACGACTGTTTACCAGTACTGACCACGATTCATGCGAATTGGCGTAACTTAGCATGCCATTTCCGATCTTATTTAAACTATCTCCGGTTTGACAGTCCATTAGCTGTCGTACACAACTACACGTTTTCTCCACCTCAATTCACAATGATTCAAATTCCGCATCAATAAGTCATCACTTCTGTGTGGGTTCGAAGAGCAGTGGATCGTTGGCCTCTATATTTAACTCATGCGTGTGTAAGAATCGTTCTTATATTATTCTTCGCCGGCTTTCTTGTCAGTTGTAAGCAATTTGTGCACTAATTAGGTATGGAAAGCAGTAAGAGAAGTTAATTTGTGCAGAGTATACAAAAATTCAAAAGGGCTTGTAGGAAAAACGAATGCTGAATTGGGAGGATCGAAATTCTTATTAGTCGTTTCCAAATACAAGTATCACAACAGTAAACATCAGAGCTGCTCCTCATTAACTCCGAAAGAAGTCACGTGATAAGCCGGAAACCACTCTTCCCAACAGGCCACACACTTTCTGCTACTACCGTTACTAATGTGATATGTTTAATTCCTCTTTTCAGCACTTTTTGTCCCTGTTGATTCAACACCCAAGATAGACTTTTCAGGATATTACAGAGCTTTGTATGTTTTTCGGTGATCCAATTAACTGTCCGTTTGTTAGGAAAACTAAGGAACAAATAAATGTTCAACCCTTTTGGAAGAGAGCAGAGAAGATGTTGACACTTCAGTTTTCACTTTTTGACAGACCATAAAGGAAATAAAATGTCGCAAAAAGTTGAACGTTTGAAAACTAAAGATTTGTGGAATCAGTTGGTATCTCCCAAGTATTCAGGGGCACATTTGACTTTTCTGCATCAGTTGCAGTTGCGTAATGAGTGGTGGTTGACCTAAAGTGTAAAGGGATCATAAATGGGCTATTGAGGTTAGGTTGTAGCTGTGTTCAGGCAGGTTCTTAGCGTCGGCATTCTTACTCCATTGGTACTTGGTCACCCTGATTTTAAACAGACCAATTAAGAGGACGGGTCCAAAACAACGGGACTTTGGCAAAAACAACTTATTTAGGAAACTCAAGAATTGCCAAAAAGAGGGATATTCTTGTTACCACGAACTGTGTATGAACAACCTATTCACGCGCACACTGAGATAAGTGAACAAACGAAGAAAGACATTTCTATTCTGTAGAAGCGTTTACTGTCGTTAGGTTTTAATTGCTGGACACACTGTTTCTCAAGAAAAATTGTTATCCATGAAGGGGACAAATAATTCGTAAAGTATTGCACAAACAGGTGTAACAGTTGGATTTAGGATTGCTGATCCTCAGAAACTTGCAGCGTGAGCAGGTCAACCGTTATCTACTGTTCTGACGCAAATGGGAAGCTGTGGTCATATATGGAACGCCTAGTGGTTATCCACTACTTAACTAATTGCGTCATACACGAGGACTATATTTTACCACACCCAATTGCATGTAATTTGATGGTTTAAGTCAAAAATCACCAACAATTATCAGTTCATTTCCTTCTTTGAGAACGGCGTTTTTGTATCTTCCGTAGCCTTAAAAAACTTCGCATAACATGCATCTTACTCGATGTACCGGTGTAACGGTTATACTACTGATCGGGAGGCACGCGAGTAGTATGTGTTGTTCGTAGAATTTCGCTTTGCGTCGATTGAAAAACGGAATTCTGTTGCGGAATTCGCGGAGCCACTTTGTAACATTTGCTTTTATCTGACCGACGAATGATTGGAGGCAATGAATCTCCAGGAAGACTCTTTCGGGAGAAGATCTGTGTCCAGTTTTTGCAACTAAGATGCAGATTAGAGTTTTGCTTCTTTGTTCAATGGTCTGTAACCGGTCAGTTGGCATTTCCGAAGTGATAAATCCGCAGCGAAGGCCTTCTTCCTTTCACCGGTAAATTGGCGTCCTCTCCTTATCACGATATCTAAGTTTCCGATCGAACTAAATCGTATTAAAGAGGCCATCGTGTAATGAAGGGACGGGTAGACTGGTGATTACGAAGGCTGCGACCGGTGACGCAGTCGCTTTAAAGAATGATTTATCATACAGGACAAGTTAGATAAAGGTATTATGGTAGTGTCACTGTAATTTGTGCCACAAGGTGCGAATAGCCGACCTAGCTGACCATCCCGCAGCTACCAAAAGAGTATTAGTAAGTACGAAGGCTAGAACCCCACGAGCGTAGAGTGGTCGGTGTCAAAACTGTGGGCAGCTACCAAAAGAGTATTAGTAAGTACGAGCGTAGAGTGATCGGTGTCAAAGCTGTGGACAACATAATATGATAACTATGAATGCGTGAGACAGTCGTGGCGGACTACCTAGTTGACTCACTCAGGCGTGGTAATGTGAATCGAGGTTTCATGAACTGAGGCTGTTGGCGTTTTGGTCGGCACACACAAGGATCTTTACAGACTTTGCTAAGATACTCGCACCCACTCAGATCAGTTTTGGTATAGGTCTTATTTGACTTCCAGGCCACAAGTCAAATGCATCTCTTTGCCTGCCGTTTTTTCTCTGTGCTACAGGGTCCTGTCTCTCGTTGGTGATAAATCCCTAGCGGTTACCGCCTTTCTCTCTACTGATCCCTTTGTATGTGTCAACTTTTTGTTTTAAATACGAAGTGTACTCTTCTGCTGGTGCATAGAATCCCATCTGACTTGATTAGAATATCGCGGGCTGTCCCATGTATGCCAAAGATGGGATGAAGTACATGGTCATTATTAAGTTCACTGCTTTGGACGTTCGAAAGTGTAGATTGACAATACAACAGGTCGTGGTTTCTCATGGATATCTACTGATGACACTTGCTGCTGAGGTGATTGCTGATAGCTCAGGTGGCTTAGTTGGTCTTCGGTTAGTTCCCAGCTCCGCGAACAAACCAACGATCACTGGTGACACTTTCACCGTAGTGGTGTGCAGTAAGTTGATTTTTGACACACGCGTTTTGTACCTAAGTTTGTTTCTGGTCCGAAGTGTTTGTTCTCATGTGATTCCATCAGATTTATCTAGGCTCGAGGTTCACTGCACTAAATTTTAACCACAGTTCCAAAAGAGTCGGTATTCAGTTCACCCTCGCTATAAAGCGTGACGCAATGTTCCTGGGGAAAAGTAGCGTTGAGAACAATGACGTTATAACTAGGCTCTCAACAAGCCCAGTATCAAACCCACTGATGAATTTTATAAGACCAGAACAAGAGATAGTGTCCATATTCCAATATTTCACGAAGGACTGCATTATCAGCGCGCCGCATTCTATCGATTATATTAGACTACATTTCACCAAGCGCATATCTCGTTTTAGTGTTACGTTGTGTGTGTGGCCAGATGTTTACTCTGAATTGTCACTTCGTGCGCCACCGGTTTTCACTGCCGAATTGGCTGGGGTCGAGTTTGATATTCCATCAAGCTTGGTCTAGCCTGTCAGCTGGATAATAAACTGGATGGATTAGGAAAGATTGAATATCCCTCACGATGCTGCCGTCTTTGTACTTGTGGTCTAAACTGTGCTGCATAAACGTCAGGCTGCTGCACCGCAGTAGGATTTCATCCGTCTACGTCAGAACAATCTTTCCTCAGATTGCTTTGGGTCAATGCCGATGTCCCAGTGGTACTTTTCACCTTCATTCTCCAACAACCGTTAACCAAAGCTATAACAGGACTGGTATGTTTGGGGTGGATAAAGTTCAACAAAGCGGTGAACAAAGCAGGTATCACAGCACATCCATTATCAAGGCAGAGTGCTCCGATATATGTATGTGTATGTGTATGTATAAGGTGGGATAAGATGGAAGAGTCGCTCAATTTTGTGAGCAAAGATGAGAACATCATTAGAGACCGACGGTATGTCGAGGGTATGGTTAACAAAGCTTTAAGCAGAATGGTATGTTACAGTACGTAATAGCTGTCCAAATGGATCTATTCTGTTAGGAATGGAGGTTGCACAGTTTTTCATACGGACAGGTCGGAGTGTCGAAGGCCGTGTGAGAATGAGTGCCGGAACTCTTTCACCCTGTAACATGACTTGATTCATTTTTTGGGATATTCATTTAAAAGTCGTCTACCGTGCAGGCTGCTCCCTTTATAAAGGGTACATTTGGTACAGTTCCTTCGGGGTCTACAAATGACTTTTCCTACAGGGTTTGTTGGAGCATAGTCATGAAACTCGAAACCAATGGATAATTCTGAGCGAGTCGTCTATCCATCTGTCCATTAAACATGAAAGACGGAAAGCTGTTATTTTTTTAACAAGGGGTTCGCCCATGATCTACAGGCAAACTGAACGTGTGCAGATAAGTTGTGCGCACCACTACTTACTTTGAGTTGTGATGTGTGGTTCAGCTACGCTCACGAGTCTCTTGGGAAGCCGTTTTGTTGTGCAATCTTAGGGCCTGAAGGCACCGAATGCACACTGATGGATGTGGGGGGGGGGACTAATCTTGGTTGTGGATGGTGAAAAGATCCCCTTGCAACGTTACAGATAGTAGCTGGGCACTGAGTGACGAAGTTTATTCCCCGTCATATCCAGGAAAGCATCTGCTTGAAGTATACCCAAGGGATTGTCTGGCAGTTTACTCACAGATTCAGCATGTGATTAAACGGCAAAATTGGGTCCATAAAATGTACTTTGGGTACTGATAAAAAGCTATTCTGCCTCAATGTGGAGAGAAAAAGTAAATCTAGAGTAGATTGGCTTTAGACCACCCAATTCGACTTACATTTTCTG